TTACATATCCTCCTCCCGGTATTTTGCACATTCTGATAATCATCATATAGTCTGCATATTCATGAAGGCAAACACACTGAATGGATTGCATCTGATAGTTTACTCATTTGACAAATTGGAATCCTTGATGCATATGATTAATAAATCGACTTTGCACATGTTTTTATACATGCAAATTTTTAGTAGATATGGCTGTTACTGCCCTGTTTGTTGTTTTCATGATAGGAAGTCTGCAATCCAGCTCCAAAGACATGTTTTCAGTTTAGTCCGAAGATGAGTGAAGTGACTGCAAAAGCAAAGATGATGTACAAAATCCAGGCAGAGCTCTTATTTGTTTTTGGGTATTTTTTATCTTTTTTTTTTCCTGTGGAATAAAATGTTTTGCAGAACATGGGTGATTRTGGCTCATGATATGCACAATCTGATGGGTTCAGGGAACGTAGGGAAACTGTTTGGACCTGGTAAAATGTCAATGGTAGAAAACCGAGGACCWCTCTATTTTTTATAAACATATGTGGCAGTTACTTAGTTTTATGACAATGACACCAAGTGGAATTTGCCACAAGAGTAAATATGATGAACAGAAATGCCATGTTTCACAAGTTGATGAATTTGGGATTTATTAAAAATCAAGTTTAACCAAACAGCTTTGTTTATCTTTAGGACAATTTTAACAAAGGTGTAAAGTAAGTACAAATACTTTGTTACTGTACTTAAGTAGAATTTTTGGGTATCTGTACTTTACTTGAGTAATTATTTTTCATCCTACTTTTTACTTCTACTTCTTACATTTTTACATAATTATCTGTACTTTCTACTCCTTACATTTTTAAAAAAGGCAAGAAGAAGAAAGTCGTTACTTTTATTTCATGTTTGCTTGTTTTTATTCCATCTTGTTATTGTAAAAAATAATTCTAACCATATAAACTGTGCCTCCTAGATAGAGTGAATTTAATTGTGGTTGAATGAGAAGTATAAATATATAAAATTCTAATACCGTATTAGTTTGTACACAAACAAATCATGTCACACTCCAGCAGGACATAATCATTAAATAAAAGGACTGTACTTAAGAAGTATTTCATGAATTATATTGTTGTATTTGGCCGCAGCCCTCAGATAGATTTTCATTTTGGACAAAAGGTTTGTGCACCCTTGATATATGTATGTAAACTGAAACAGCTRGACTAGTGCATCCTAAATTTATAATTCAAACATTGTTTGAATACAACAGTCATTTCTGCATTTTTTTGGGGAGGTCACCTCCTAATAAATGTTATTACGGAAAATCTAACTGCTCATTTTAAATCAATACTTTTACTTTTAATACTTAAGTACAAAAATATCAGGTACTTTAAGACTTTTACTTAAGTAATATTCCTAAAGGAGACTAACTTTTACCAAAGTAATTTTTTGGTAAGATACTCATAGTTTTACTCAAGTATCACTTTGCGGTACTTTATACAACACTGAATTTTAGTAAGAAAAAGCTTGTCTGAATTTGGGCTCTTCTTACAGGTCTATTCCATTGTAAAAAAAAAAAAAGTCCAACTTAAATTTTACTGTTGTCACACAAAAAAAAAGTTTTTGCTTAATTTCTCTGAAGCAATCAGCCCTGATCCACATTTTTCAAGACGTTTTCTCTGTTATGAATCTGTTGCTTCTCATCCTCTTCATATGGGCTTTTCAGACATCTGATACCAAAACCACCCACCATAAAGTACCCCCTTTTATTTTTTTTAAAATTTGCTTTAATAAAATATCAGAAGACAAATCCAGTGTCTACCAGGAATAAATAAATATGAATAAAATTCCATTTTGATCCAGGGGATAGACCAGCCGACTGGCATTACCATTCCCAAAGCTCTGCATTTAGCATGGTGTTAACATTTAACAGGGATCAAAAATATGAAAAATAAAAATAAAAACACTGCAGATGGTTTTCATTATCTTACATCAACTTAGACAGATATTTGGCTTTCCCTGCAGATTCCTGCTGCTGGAAGGGCTTATCTCTCAGCTGTAGTCAACGTTTGGGAGGGGTCTGTGTTTTAGCATGATGAGAAACTGACCAAATGCCCGGGGGCCCACACTACATGATGTCAGTAATGAGTGAGGCATCGGATCCCCCGTTTATTTAGAAACCTCCCCACAGGGAGCAACCGCACATTCCTCACCCATCTGAGCTGCTCTGTCCGGCGGATCGAACCAAAAAATATTCAGACACCATGAGCCCACGCTTTCAGAGTCCTGAGGTGGGATATCAGCACTGAAAGCTGCTGTTGGTTAAAACAGCTCAACTTCTAATGATTTGAATATTTCTGAAAGAATCTGATTTCTGGGACAATCTGATCATGTGGAGGTATGCCTACAGAAAATACTCTTCTGAAAAATACAAATATTGACACTCTGCACCYAAGTGTAAGCCAAAGATCCTTTGGCTTCTCTGATCAGCTTAATCATCAAGCTCAAAGCAGCCAAGTTGCTCCAGGATATATTTTACTTAAATCATAATTAATTTCTGCGGCGGTGTGAGGAAAGTTTAGAAACCCACATAATTCAAACCAGAGTCGGAGCGTGGCAGGGAGATGGTGGCTCGGAGGTGAACCTCAAAGTCACGGATGCAGCAGCTGGGTAAATTTTATCCCTTCCCCACCTAAAAACACAAGAATGGCAGGTCTCTAAATCTGACCTGCAAATCTTAATAACAAATCTGATCACTGAGAGTCTCATTTTAACATTTGTACTGTGACGAGAGGATTTTTTTAGTTTTAGAAAGTTAATGTGACTTAGAGCGTAAAACCAACCTTAGAATTGATTAATTTAAAAGTAAATAAAGCCAGCTTTCTTTGCCCATCCCAGTGCATCCATCCCTGTTGGCTCTCAGGCTATGTGATGGGGTGACTCTCAGTTAATAGCTAAGATTACTTTAAGATTTTTGCTAGAATCCATCCACTGGTCCATGAGATATTTGACTAACAGACAAACAAGCAAGCAGAAGAGACAGTCGTTTACACAAACGTCCATCTATCTTGGCAGTGGGGGATTAAAAAACCTCCAGAAAATGAAACTTGACAATCCCTGGGAGACTTGAGGAAACAGACAAAATGTCAAGAATATTTATTTGCGAGGTGATTACAACAAGCAGCTGAGTCAGAGCACGGTCTTTTCCCCAAACCCTCTGGTGTGTCACTTAATCCTGCAGCTTCTTCCTCCGAGGCGAGGCTTGAAAAATGCGAGTGTAAAGAGCTCTGCCTAGAGGAAAATTAAAACAGAGACGTACGAGCCTCTGTTTTTATGTTGTCATCATCATTAACTGGTGGAGGCAGCGGCTGCTAATGGGCCTGGAACCAGAAGCTTCAGGACCAATCACAAAGCTGAGGATTATTTTTTACATTTTATGAGTTTCACCTTTTGTTTTTGGCAAAAGATATGGTTAGACAAAACCACCACACATCAGTCAGTCATTCCTGCTGGAACTGAGGGCTTGTGATTTAATTACATCACAGTGAGGGAAAATTTGGACATCATGCATGACATTTATGCATTCAAAGGCATGACCTAGCCTTCTTCTACCCAGGTCCTGGTTGTGTTTGCTTTGAGCAAAGTGCAGCCACAATGTGGGCGGGACCATCATATTGAAAGCACTCAAATCTTAATATGATGACATTGTATTTGCAACAAGACGATGGACCACACTGAGCTTGCTACTCCTCTTTGCTCTCATTGCAACTGAAGACCGGCTGAAACGAGACGTCAAGTTTTGCCCCGGCCGCCCAGCCTGAATACAACTCCAGGCCTCTAGGTTCCAGAAGTCAGACTGGAAGTGGGCCATAACACCAAATGCAAGGCTTTACCATGCGAAAACACCACAAGTGTGTGCATGCATCTGTTTGTTAGCAAAATATCTCATGAACCACTGGATGAGTTTGAATGAAACTTTCGGAAAACAATCCATGGATATCCATGTACAACTCTTGGACATTTGGGCCAACCCAGTTCAACATGGTCGACAACAGCTGATCAAAACTATAAATTAAAAAGCTGCAAGTCGTTTTACATATGGTGAGTCAGTATTTGGTGTGGTAGCTGAGAATCACTCTGAATGTGACATCTCTCAACAGTGCATGAGGCTGTGCACAGTGGGTCAAAGTTCAAACTTTTGGCATGAAAAGTGACGGGCGATACGCATATGAGTCAAAACTAATCAGAATCAGACATATGGTTTTATAGCGCGCGCGCACACACACACACACACACACACACAC